TGTATTGGCTGTACCTTGATTGCACGGTTGATGGTATGGGACATTATTCACCAAGATACAGATGTGGTCCTCGTGGTGGCCATGAAATTATATTGGAGTTGTAATTGGGCTTCAGGCTCATGATCTGGGTTTCAGGCTCATGTGTTGGTGGTTGTGTGATTGAAATGAACGGTACCCTCGTGTACTATGTGTTGGTGGAAATGTTGGAGATTGTCGGAGTGGGGACGACGGTCCTCGGAGGCATAAGGTTGGACTTTGGAGTACAGGGGTCTTGGAGGTAATGGTTGGAACTGTAATAAGGCCAGGGTAACCATAAGGTTGGAACTTGTGACATGAAGTGTCACTGTGGCATGTAGTTGTCAATGTGTGTATGTCTATCCTTTTCTGATGAGCATGTTGAGTGGTATTCTACTTTGTGATCAGTATAATACACCTCGAGTTGTACTTGTTATTTTTGTTGTCTTTGCCTTGATGTTTCCTACTTTGTGATCAGTAGATTATATCTTGAGCTGTGTTGAGTTGTACTGTTGTTGTTCTTGTCTTGATGTTGTCTTGGGATGTTGATTTCCCTTGTTCTTTTGAGAGTGGAATAGTCTTTGCAGTTGACTTATCTCTTTACGGTTTTGAACTGATATATACTGCATTCCGTTTCGAAAATGATTTTGTGTTATACTATCTGTATATGCTATTGAACGCGTATTGATGGGTTACCAGCAATATTCGCTGACCAGGTGTCGTCCCCTTTCTTTATGTGCTTTACAGGTCCTGAGTAGACATGGCGAGAGCGTTAGCCGTTGGTAGTTTAGCTCCCTTGAACAATGTAGTTAGTGTTTTGGCCTGTGTGCCACAGTTTTTGAACAAAATAGTTTAATGGTTTTAGACTTGTCTGTGCATTCACGTTGAGGTGAATGTGGCATAACACTCCTTGGTTTTCCCTGTTTTTATATTAGACTTCCGCTATGCTTACGTTTTATGATATATGTTAGTTACCTTACCTTACGTATTTAAGTTTTAAAATGTCATGAAAATCGGGGGTGTTACACTTGTTGTTATTATTGAGTCTTATTACTGTCTTGTCTCGTGGTCGTAGTTGCATGCTAGGATCTTTATGTGTCTCATTGTGGCAAGTCTGTGTCGTGTCTTTAGTCTTATTCCTGGTTTTAAAACTAGAGTTGTTTAGGTCTATATTTACGTATTGCCAAGTCTCACTGATGTTATAGCTTGACGTTGACTCTCCGGAAGAGCATGATGATTCTTCATTTTCATCAAGTGCCATTATGCACTGAGTGTCTCATGATTTGAAATTTGAATTGGTAGGGGAGCTATCTTTGGAAGAACCACTACATCTTTCACTATCATCCATTGTGTCTTCTTGTTCACCTTTGCTATTGTTGATTGGTTTAGGTGATGCCATGTGATAAGCCTCAAAACATGCTAAGTTTCTATGAGCTTTTCTAAGGTTTTGCATGTGTATTTCTAGTCCAAAAGTCTTATTTAAAAAGCAAATTATCTTAAAAGCACGAAAGTATAAGGAAAGACCTTCCTAATTATATTTTATGCGTTTTTTTAACATTTTAGGACACAAAACGTGGTAGAAAAGCCAAGAGAAGCTAAGCCGAGGCGAACGCGCGAACGAGGACCGAACACGCCAAGGCTACGCACAAAGAAGAGGGATGGAATGAGAATTATTTCCCATTCACGCCCCTCCTCACGGCGTGAGGGCGCCGTGAACGGAGCATTAAAGGGTCCGAGAAGCTCAAAGACACGGAGGAAGTTATTCCCCATTCACGTCGTGACGTGAGGCCGTGCGTGAATGGGATGCCAAATGACTAATGTGTATTTAAGGATTGGACTTCATTTTGCAAGAGAGACACACAATTTTCAAGAGTTTTTCACTAGTTACAATCAGATTTTAGAGAGAGGTTAGTAGGGTTAGAATAGGTTTCTAGAGAGAGATTTTTAGATCTACATTAGCAAACACCTTGTATTGCTAGATTTTGCAAAGAAGCATTGAAGATTGAAAGTGTAACACCCTCGAATTTTACAATTAGCTTATTAGCTCATTTCCCTTATTAGCTCGACCGACCTGACCAAATGATCATTTCCCTAATTAGCTTAATGAACTTATGTTATGCATTTCCCGACCCGAGTTCTCGGTTGGGGCCCCGAACCTAGGGATGTCAATTTAGCCCGAACCCGAAAAAACCGAAACCGACAGGGCTATGGCCCAAACGGGCTAGCCTGATAAAACACATTAGCCCGACGAGCCCGAAACCAATTAGCCCGATACCCGATAGGGCTAGCCCGAAATTAAAAGGGCTAGCCCGACAACCCGAACTATTGAAAATTATTTTTTATTATAGAAGTGATGTGAAACCTAACATACATAAAATAATTATTATAATTAAAAATAAATAAATAAATAAATAAATATATATATATATATATATATATATATATATATATATATATATATATATATATATATATATATGCTACCCTCCGTTTTGCCCCGCCCCGTTATTATTCCTACTCTAAATATGAGTACTCACTTTCAGTTTTTAATTTTAGTTCAGATTGTTCAACCCGCCCGATTAGCCCGACAACCCGAAGTTTAGGGTTAGGGCCAAACCGAACCCGAGAATAAAATATTAATTAACCGATTAGCCCGAATCGATTAGCCCGACAACCCGACAGGGTTAGCCCGAAACCGAGTGGGCTGGCCCGATTGACATCCCTACCCGAACCCATGTGTTATGCATTTAAAGATGAACATTGACAATAACGCTTGAACCGAGCCTGATGGCCATTGGTCAATCATATATTCTGTTACACATGGATATTTCTCATTAGCTTCCGAGACCGCTGAGTGCATGAAGGACACGTGGCGTGCATGTCAGCCTCCCGACATGTGTCCCCTTTAATCTCCTATAAATACCACACTAAACGCTTGTAGAAGGGACATTTTTCCCAATTCTCTCTAAAATACTTACATGCTCGGGAACTTCCGACCCTCGGTCTTAACTACTCGAGCCACTATATACTGACTACTCCATAACTCGTATTCTAATACGTAGACCCGGGTGAATTTACCAATGATGCAAAAATCGCACCTAGGCGTCGCCTGGCCGTTGCGAGGATGGCCGAAATCGGCCTCCTTCGCGGCCAGGCGGCCTAGCCGGCTGAACCGGCCGATTTTTTATTTTTTATTTTTTTTAGGTTTGGGTTTAGAAACTTTGTCGAGGTATAACTTTTGACTCGGTTGTTCGTTTTTCCCCACCATATTCTCAAACAAAATGCTTCTTTAGCTCTTAATTTTAGTTTTTTTTTTTTTTATGTATTTAGATGGTTTAAACAATAGTTTGAACAATTTTACAACCATTTACGTAAATAGTCTGTAAGAAATAACTATGAAACCTTATGTTTTATTAGTGAATTTTACAGTTTTTAGTTTAATTTTTTTAAAAAAAAATTAATTAATCGGGCGCCTGCCGCCTAGGGGGGTGCCTAACATATTTTGCAACCTTGGAATTTACCACATCAAGTATAAGTAATGAATTTTATTATTTTATTATGTGTAAGTAATTTAAATATTATTTTTTTAGTAAACCTTAATAAGATGATAAGTGATAAGTACAGTAATAGGCACCCGCACCCAGTGAGGTGGGGGTGGGTGAAGAAAATATAAGGTGGGTCGAATAATGGATGTAGCTTTTCCCAACCAATTAACCTTAAAATAAACAAACTAAGTTGCCATATATTTAATTAGCAATTATATTGTGGACCATGGTAAAAAAACGGTGTCATTTCTTTAAATAAAGAAAAGAAAAGGCTTCCATTACATCTTAACTGAGCCCGTATTTTTGGTGTGTTAGTTACAAAATGAAACTACACTGTATCTAAAATGAAACTGTCTCGTATTTTGTTTTTATATTATCAAATTAAACTGTAATTGAATTGAAATGAAATTGTAATTGTGTTGAAATTAAACTGCAGTATATATAAAATGAAACTGGATAATAGTTTCACATATTTTAGTGTATATTGTCCAATGAAACTGTAGTTATATCGAAATGATATTGTAATTGCGTTCTATTGAAACTATAGTGTATATAAAATGAAATTGAATAACAGTTTTACATATTTGAGTGTATAATGTCGAATGAAACTGTAGTTATATCGAAATGAAACTGTAGTTTTGTTGAAATGAAACTGCAGTGTATATAAAATGAAACTGAATAACACTTCACATATTTAAGTGTATATTGTCCAATGAAATAGTAGTTATATCGAAATGATAATGTAGTTGTGTTGTAATGAAACTATAGTGTATATAAAATGAAACTGAATAACAGTTTCACATATTTGAGTGTATAATGTCGAATGAAACTGTAGTTATATCGAAATGAAACTGTAATTGTGTTGAAATAAAGCTGCAGTGTATATAAAATTAAACTGAATAATAGTTTAACATATTTGAGTGTATATTGTCCAATGAAACTGTAGTTATATCGAAATGATACTGTAATTGTGTTTTAATGAAACTATAGTGTATATAAAATGAAACTGAATAACAGTTTCACATATTCGAGTGTATAATGTCGAATGAAACTGTAGTTATATCGAAATGAAACTGTAGTTGTGTTGAAATGAAACTACAGTGTATATAAAATAAAACTGAATATGTTATACAAACAGAGCTACTTTATGCGAAACGGGTGCTGTTTCTTTTAGCTAGCTATAGTGAATAAGGTATTGCTGGAATTTACTGAAAATCAATTTTATTTAAAATGCGTTTTGTTGGTACATATGTATTACTCTTCCTCATTCTGGGAAAAATTAGAACAGAGAGAGAAAAGGGGCAATTAAATTTCAAAAAAAAAAAATCAAAATACAGAGATATAGAGTAATACAACATCTTTAATATATATATATATATATATATATATATTTATATTAAAAAAATCCCTTTCCATAAAGCTGTTAATAATATAAAATTGTGATATTTCAGAACTCTGTTGCAGGTTTCAACGGCTGGTGCTGCCCACCTACCATGCTCAACTGCCTTCGCAGCCTGGCGATATGGCCTTGTACCTATAACACTCAAATAAAACAAAACGTGGGGGAGAGCATGCCATCAACTTCATTGCTGCCTCAAATCCTCAATTCATCAGTCAGGACTTGAACATGTTTACTGTCTCTTAGTAATAAATAATCCCATCTAAAGTTCAATTATGCGGGTGAAAAATCCAGATTTGTCTCACAATGATTAGGATACAGGATGCCATATGCAAAGAAAATTTCCATCTAAACTTCAAGTATTGAATACAAGCAATCACAATGACCTGGTTTCGTAATTAGAGCTCTAACGTTTTACAACAAGTCTTGTTAAACAAAAATAGGAATGATTTTTACAACATAGGAGGAGTCTTAAGTTTATAATATTCTATGCTCTGTGAGTGAGTTCACTTGACATTAGAATACCTTTCTTTAGCCAGATGATTTGTCAAATTGTTTCGGGTTCTTAAGTCTCTTTAGTCTATGAGAACCGCAAAATACACATGTAATTATCAAAGTTAAAAGGAACTAACCTGCTGGCGGGCTGCTGTAAGTTTTAAAAGCTCATCCGCCTCAGAGAAATTAGTGAACCACTGGCTTAGAGGATGATCTTTAGTGTCACCTCTCTTCCTTCTATCAACATCTTCTAATGGTGCTACATACAAAAACAGATACCAGTAACTCAAAATGTTATAGTGTACAATAATCAAGCAACATGTAGAACCAACATATCAAAAAGTTTAAAACACACCAGCCGGAGGTAAAGCCAAGTCAGCAGGTAGTCGGGGAACACTAACTGCTGGATGATTGTGCACACGAGCAAGGAAAGCCTCCGAAGGTTTGGATAAAACAATTTCGTCATATGATTCGACAACAATAGGTTTCTTTGTGGAAAGAGGACCAGACTCATCCTCTGGATAAAGTTTTAGATGGTGGTATCTGTAACATGAAAGTAAAGAATCAAATTTTGTACAGGATTTCAAAATGCCAAACAGCTTAAGAAATATTGCATTCTAACATAATACTTACAAAGATGAATATAATGGCAAATGGACAAACTATTTTTCCAATTTATGAAGATTCAAGTATATCAGTAGTTAACTCTGTTTCAATACTGGCCATTTTAGTATGTGAAATGCAACTTAAATAGAGCTGTAAAGAAAGCAACTCACAAGTGCAATGGCTTATCACAAACATCATTATGGAAATAAAGAGTAATAGCAATTTCAAATTCACCCCATCCACACTCTGACAACTCAAAAGGTGGAGCATCCACCACCCTTGTTGGGTTATTAAAACTCGAGTGCAACTGGAAAACTGCTCGCTTTATTACGACACCTAGATCTTCATTTGTTGCCCCGCGAATATAAAGAGTCCATTTATGAGACTGATACCTATGCTCCAATTAACAAAAGGCTCAGTCAGGCATTTCATCAAACACTCAACCGAAACGAAAACAGTCTATCATCTTTAGCAACACTCACTCGCTAGCCTTCTTTCCAAGCCAAAACGCAACATTCCCATACACGATCGGAACACTAATCTCAATCCCCTTAAGTTTCTGTGCCGAGTCCTAGAAAAACACAACAATATGCGATAAGTTTTCAACAAACACTTCAAGAATCAATTAATTATGATAACTTAAGTACAAATTTTGAGAAATTAAATAGGCAATGAAAAAAAGTTTCACTTTTGCTTCGCTATCATCGGAGGATTTAATCATTTTTGTGCGCAGAGACATTGTGGCAGGTCCTGTAATGTCAGGCCGATCTGCTCCGTGCTTCTTCGCCGAATTGGCCTTGAGGCACTCTAGTGGCTTAATTATCCTCAGATTGAAGAGTGATTCATAACATTGAAATTAGGGCTTTTTGATACTGCAATTCTCGTATGGAAACATATCTGCATTATTTTGTTGGAACAGAGACTTCCAAATCGGATCAATATGAAACGCAAATTCTCAAAATGCTATTTACAAAATTGCAGTGGATTGCTGCAAATTATACCCCAGTAAATATATTCATTTAATATTATTAAATGAATACTCCGTATAAGATAATTATCTGGAGTTTATATTATTCGAGGAATTTAATCAAGATTAACTTTATGTTTTTCAATTTTAACTTTACACTTTACAGAAACATAGTAGCCGTTGATCCTATGATATTATATAACTGTTGAGAAATAATATAAGAAAATGACCTGACATTTTTGTATATAAAACGATAATTATAATTTTTTTTTTAAATGTCACTATTTCATTCTATTTGTAGCTGTAAGTAAGAATTATTCATAAATGTTATGTACATCTTTTTATTATATTATATTTAAAAATAATGTTACATTTCTCTTTTGATTTCATCTCCTAATATTCACCTCTTGTATAACAAATTGACAATATATAATTGTATTGCAAATAAATATATAGAAACATTACTAGAAGTATTATATTATGATAATAAATTTTCATCTGTATATCATGGATTGAATGGTGAATAATGAAGGTTGGTATATGTTATGTTTATCCAAACCCACAATCAAAGAAGGCATGAAGCAGTACTACATGCAACACGTGCACACATGGAGCGATCAATCGACTCGAAGATAGTGTGACGAGTGATGGGATATGAGCCCATAGACCGGAAGAATAACGATGCCAAGCATAATGACAAGGAAGACGGGAAGAGACGATGAGCATATAAGGGGTGTCAGGAATGGGTCGGTCGAAGAAGGCGGGAAATTGTCAAAGGCGATGCAGGTTAAAATAAGTAGTGAGACCAATCAAGAAGTGGTCAGACCAATCAAGAACGGAGTCGGTTCAACCTAGGAGTCGGTTGAAGCACGTCAATCACCCACCTGAGTGAAGGAGACAAACGATCAATCGAGGCAGGTGGTCGGAAGAGGTTTGAGCGAGTAGGCAGCCGATCAGGTAGGAGACAAAAAAGGGAGGAGTAGGCAGCCAAGCGTTGAGACAAAAGGGTAGACGACCCATCTAGATTAGGTGCTTAGAGAGGCCGTGCGCATGCAGCACCGAGTCTCGTGAGTCCGAGTGGATGCAGGAGCCAGGCAAATGGGCAAAATAGATAAATGAGTCAAGAGATTGGAGCCAAGTAAGCGGAGGAAGTCGTCAAAGTGTGAATGGAAGCAGAAGGATTCAAGTAACACGATGAGATAAGCCATTAATGGACAGTTAAAGATGAGTTAGTGGTAATGATCAGCAATTATACTGTGGACCATGGTCCACAATACATTGTCGACCATGGTCCTAATACGCCGCAGTTTCATTAATTAGATGAAACGACGTCCGTTCCTCTGTCCAATGACGTGAGCGAGTCATGCTAGTTAGTTCAACGTTTTTTTTTTTTTAAATATAAAAACCAAAAGACAACTTTTGTCTCCACTATCTTCTCGAGCAAGCTAAAAAAACTTACCGTTGTTAGGAATAAATTGTAATAGATTTTGATATGCCAAATTGTAAATCATAGAACCCCAATTTTATTTTGGTTAGACTAGTCGAGTCATAGACCAAGAAAGGGAAAAATAAATTCATTAGTTGAAGAAATGGATGAAGAAGATATCAAGCCTAAAATCAAGAATTTTTTCTAGTGAAAATGGCAAATAGAAGAGGAAGATGTATGCATATGAAGATGTATACATGAGATCAACCTGCGAAGAAATCTCTCAAGAAATTCACGAAGAAATCCCTCAACAATTTCCGTAGAATTTCCGAAGAAGAAGAACGCGACTTGGACTTTGCATGAAGCTATCTTGAAGATCAAGCATCTATGAAAAGAAAGGAGTACACCAAGTGAAACGAGATGGTAACTAAAAGGTTGTACGGACGAGATAATAGAAGTTTGAAATATTAAATGCAAGGTCATAAGTTTGAATCTCACATCCCACATATTTTAAAGAAGCCAAGTTTAAATCCATCAGATGAAGTTTGGGTGATGGACATATTTTAAAGAAGCTAAGTTTAAAGCCATCAGATGAAGTTTGGCCGATTGAAATTTGAAAATTGAAATCAGATGAAGTTTGGGCGATGGACATATTTTAAAGAAGCCAAGTTTAAATCCATCAGATGAAGTTTGACCGATTGAAATTTGAAGGGATGAAGTTTCACAATCTAGAATGTGAAGAAGTTCACGTGAAAAGGAAACCCATCATTGGGCAGAAGTTTCAATTTGATGGGATGAGATTTGCAATGGGCTTCAATTCAAGGAGATATCAATAGCAAGGGATGAAGTTGCAAATCCAAATCAAGTATAGGATGAGATTTCAATTGCCAAAACAGGAAGGGAAGAGATTTCAATTCCAAATATAGTAAGGGATGAAGTTTACATGGGAAGAGATTTCCCCAGAAGCAAAAATACTAGTCAAAACTAGTATGGGATTAAATTGGAGATTATATTTTGAAGATAGAAATCCCAAGAGGTTTGATCTACACCAGATGAAGTTTTTGGGACGCCATTTTTGCGTGAACTTAAAGCTCAACTTGCAGAGAATCTCTGACATATCTGCAACGTTATCTTATCCTCTGAAAAGGCTATACAGCTAGAAGAAATTCAAAAATGAGAACGTTTCTTTCCAACGGACAGATTCTCATTACTAGCTATAAAAGGATGAAGATTGCAGCAGTGGAAAGCAGAAGCACGAATACAAAGAGCAAAGCTAAACAGAGCATACAAAAATCAAAAGAGCTTTCCATCTCAAGAGCTTAAATTGATATATTCTTAGTGAGATAAACACTCAGAGTGATACAAAGCCTACAAAGAAATATCCAAGAGTGTTAAAATCTTCATCAACTACAAGAGACTTAGCGCACCATTGAAGATCAACTACAAAGTCTCAGAAGTTGGAAGCAAGGCAAACTTGTTTTGGAGCAAAACAAGTAGAAGTTCTACCGGAGTGTAGAAGTCGAGGGAAAGTAGCACGGAGTTGTGAAATCCTGGATTGTCACACGGAGTTGTGAGATCCGAAGCAGCAGTGTCGGAGGCACTAGGCCGTGATTAGTGCGGGCTTTGTGATCAAAGCACTAGATCACGGAAGAAGCGTTTCTACCGGATGCGTAGAAAACGAGGGGAAAGTAACGCGGAGTAGTGAAATCCTGGGAAAGTAGCGCGGCGACATGAAACCCGAAGCAGCAGTGTTGGTGGGATTGGAGAATGTCTTTCATTCAGTAACAGAATCGATAGAGGTTACAAAGTATATCACATGTAGAACTCTAACTTACCCTGATAAATAGAACTAGCCTTGACTATCTAATAGCTACAACATATTCTAAGACTATACAATATACAATAATAAGTTGAAATAATAACTTCACTAATACACCCCCTCAAGCACAAGATGGCAGGGAGACCACATTGAGCTTGCCTCGTAGAGTAGAGAAACGCGGTGACGGAAGCGGTTTCGTGAAGATGTCAACAAGCTGGTCAATAGTGGAGACGTATTTCACCACAAAGTCCCCTGAAGCTACCTTGTCGCGAACAAAATGATAGTCGATTTCTACGTGCTTGGTGCGTGCATGGAAGACCGGGTTTGCACACATATATGTTGCACCTAGGTTGTCGCACCATAGCGTTGCTGGTTGACCAGAGTGCAGCCCAAGCTCACGGAGTAGAGAGACGACCCAGGTGACCTCAGCAGACACATCAGCTAACGCCTTATACTCAGCTTCAGTAGAGGAGCGGGTCACGGTGCGTTGCTTCTTGGATAGCCATGAGATAAGATTATCACCAAGGTAGACGGCATAGCCACTAGTACTTTTCCTGTCGATGGGACAACCTGCCCAGTCGGAGTCCGAATAGGCATGAATGGAGGTTGAGGAGGATGGAGTGAGCTGTAGCCCATAGTCAAGAGTTCCTTTGACGTATCTAAGAACACGTTTCACAAGATTCCAATGATCAACCGTCGGTGAGTGCATAAATTGGCACAGACGATTGACTGCATAAGCTAGATCTGGCCGGATGATCGTTAGGTACTGTAATGCATCGACAATGTGCCGATACTGAGTCGGATTATCAAAAGGAGTATCGGACAGGGTTTCTGATTTAGTGACAGCAGCCGGAGTGGCCAGGGGTTTACAATCAACCATGCCTGAGCGGCCAATGAGATCCGTCATGTAACGGCGTTGTGACAGGAGTAAACCATCGCCTACCACAACTGTTTCGATACCCAAAAAGAATCCCGGTGCACCCAGATCACGAATCTTGAAGGCGGAGGACAGTCGTTGCAGAAGAGTATTTACGAGATTGACATCATTACCCATCATAATGATGTCATCGACATAGACCAGTAAGAACACACGGGACTCCTTAGCAGTGTAATAGAATAAAGAGGCATCGGTCTTGGATGCTTGAAAACCTGTAGACAATAAAAAGTCATGAAGCCGTTTGAACCAAGCTCTGGGCGCTTGTTTCAACCCGTAAAGAGATCGTTGCAGGTGGCAGACATGACCGGGAGTCATGGGGTCCTCATAACCCAGAGGCTATTTCATGTAAACAGTTTCAGTAAGATGCCCATTTAAGAAGGCATTGTGAACATCCAACTGTCGAAGAGTCCAACCCTTGGATATAGCCAAGGAAAACAACATTCGGACTGTGGTAGGCTTGACCACAGGACTGAAAGTGTCAAAGAAGTCCTCTCCTGCAACCTGGTTAAACCCTTTCACGACCAGTCGAGCTTTATAACGCTCTACTGATCCATCAGCAGTGCGTTTGGTGCGAAACACCCATTTGTAGCCAATAATATTCATATGGGGTTCAGGCGGAACTAGGCGCCATGTGTGATTATGGAGCAGAGCATTAAACACCTGGTCCATTGCCTCACGCCAGTGAGGGTGGCCCACGGCCTGAGAGTAACAAGTAGGATCTGTACTGACAGTCAATGCGTGAAACGGCTCACCCGAGCCCTTGGTCATGTGGCGTAGACGCATGACATGGTCCGACCTTGTGGCTAGGCACGACGCTTCCGGGTCCGTGCTGGTGCGGTGTGAGTGATTTCCAGTTGTGGTGGCTCACGAGCTAAGGGCACAGGGTCGTCATCACACATCATGTGTGAACTGGTTTGACCATGAATGGGCGGTGTGCTCGCCGTTATGATGGGCGCAACAGCCCATGGTACGCTCGGTGAGGGCGGTACCGGTTGCAAACACTCTTTCGAAAAGGGGAAAACACTTTCATCAAAACGGACATGGCGGCAGATATAGGTCTTACCACTAGCCAAGTCAATGCATCTATAACCCCTAAAGGAGAAGGGATAACCTAGGAAGACGCACGGGGTGGAGCGATACTCAATCTTATGCCTATTATATGGGCGCAAATATGGGTAACACCAACACCCGAAGACACGAAGGAAGGTATACGGGGGAGGTATTTTGAATAGGCGAGTGTATGGGCTTTCATAGTTTATGGCTGACGAGGGTAAGTAATTAATCAAACAAGTTGCAGTTTCAAAGGCATATTCCCAATATTCATGGGGTACTTTCCCTTCGGCCAGTAAAGCAAGTCCCGTTTCGACAATGTGTCTGTTACGGCGCTCGACTCGGTCGTTTGTTCATGTGTATATGCGCATGACTGACGGTGATTGATGCCCAGGGACTGAAATACAGCATGTAATTTGCGGTACTCACCCCCTAGATCAGATTGAATTGACTTAATGGAACGCCCAAATTGGCGTTCAACCAACACACTAAACGACTTGAAACTTTTATATATGTCCGATTTTACCCGTAATGGATAAAACCAGCAAAAGCGGGAGAAGTCATCTACAAACAGGCAGAAATAGCGAAAACCACTAACAGATAATACGGGGGAAGGACACCAAATATCAGTAAATATAAGGTCTAGTACATTTTGGCTAGATCGTGGCACACTATCTAATTTGAAACGTCATGACTTCCCAAGGTGACACGAAACGCAGGACTCATCCGTTGCAACTTTATTGGACTTGACTGGACAACTCCGTAGGATTTTATTCAAAACAGTTTTGTGAGGGTGACTAAGCCTTTGGTGCCAAACGGTGGGAGTTGCCCAGGAACTTATAAACGCGAAACTGGTGTTTGACGCCGAAGCTTGTAAAGCCCGCCCGTAGCAGGACCTCTAAGCACGACCGCTTTGGTGGTTGAATCCTTCACAAAAAAACAAGATTCATGAAACTCAAAATACACTTTGTTATCAACGGCGAATTTATGCACAGAAAGTAACGGAACTGAAAGACTCGGGACATGTAATATATCATTTAAACATAGAGATTTTGATGCAGAAGGAATAGATGCACGACCGACTCGCGTAATAGCCAAACCTGCGCCATTACCCACTCGTAGCACATCCGGACCACCATACTCCTCAGATTGCCCCATCATATTAGCATCGGGGGTGGCATGCGCTGTGGCACCGGTGTCCGGATACCACCCATCTGACGGAGCCTGAACCGGACTCATCGGAGCATCTCCCGAAACTGCCACGTGGCTTGTGCAGCGGGTTGCGGCTGGTGCCTCTTGAAGTAGTATAGGGCAGAATGCCCATGGGAACGGCAAATTTGACAACGAGGTCCTCCGCGGCCACCACGTCCACGACGGTTCTGTCCGCCACGCCCACCAGACAGCGAGCCACGGCCCGGCTGTTGCGACTGCCGGCCGCCTCCGGAGGATGAACCGCGCCCGGAACCTGCATAAAAAGTTGAATGCGACGCCGTGCCTTCAGTTGGGAAGTAATCATCAACAAGGATGAATTCATGAGCCGCCAGGTAATCCGAGAGGTGAGCTAGCGTCACTGGATTGCCGTTGGTGAAAGCCGCCGCCAAGGTCTTCAGTTCCGGCCAGAGTCCACGGATAACATACAGATTTTGCTCCATGAGTGAGAGCGGCCGTCCGGCTTGGACGAGCAACTCAACCAACACCCCTGCACGCCCTAAGTAGTCAGCTGTCGAGGAGTTGCCTTGTCGCAATAGCTGAAATTGGCCCAGGAGGTTGATACACCGGGCTTGGCTCGAAGAGCCGAGGGCACTCGTGATGGACTCCCAGATTGCCGCCGAGGTGTTCCGTCCGAGGGCAAGGTACAAGACCTCATCAGACATGGACGAGATCAAGAGAGAGAGGATCGACTGATCCTGCTTCACCCAGGCTTGGTGCGCCGGAATTGGGAGAACAGTCGCCGGTGGTGCACTAGATGAATCGCCGAAAGGAGGAGCCGAGACGATCGTGGCTGGTGGACATGGAAAGCTGCCGTCTACGTAGCCGAGGAGTTCCTGGCCCCGGAGAAAAGGAACCAACTGTGTACACCAGAACAAGAAGTTCCGAGATGTCAGCTTCATGGTTACGTAATGATGAGCACCAACTAGTGAGTTGCCGTCGGCCGGCGATGGAGGACCACCGGCGGAGACAGTATGTTCGGAAGAATTGGTAGACATTCCGATGGAGAAGGGAAAATTTTAGTGTACAGTGGAGAAGGGGAAAAAATTAGCGGTGAAGGTGGAGAGATGATCGACACCCTGGCTGATACCAGATTGGAGAATGTCTTTCATTCAGTAACAGAATCGATAGAGGTTACAAAGTATATCACATGCAGAACTCTAACTAACCCTGATAAATAGAACTAGCCTTGACTATCTAATAGCTACCACATATTCTAAGACTATACAATATATAATAATAAGATGAAATAATAACTTCACTAATAGGTGGCACTGGGCGTGATTAGTGCGGGCTTGGTGATCAAAGCACTAGATCACGGAATTCATTGTATCTAGGGACCAAGTAGTGGTGGATATAGTGAATTTCTCTTGGAGATAAGAGCAAGTGGAGTAGGAGGATTACACCACCTCCGAACCACTATAATCTCAATCAACTTCTCTTTCTCACAACTTTGGAAATCAAATATCATGCAACTCTCAATGCAAAATGATAATGATTTTCCAAAATAGATATAGATTTTTGAAATAGAACTTATGCTTACTTAGAGCCAATGATGCACTTAAAAAATGAAATGCACAAACACAATCTCTTTACTGTAAAACCATCTCAATCTCTCATTCACTGTAATTTCATAAAAACAAGTACTGCATATACAAAATTCTCAAACATTTAGCAAAGCTTCTCATTAAATACTAACAAGTATTTAGGCATGCTTCTCAATCCAAAAACAAGTTTTGATCATGCTTCTCAACTCATAAAATATAATAGGCAGATGCTAAAATTTCATTTACTGGAATAGCTCAAAGTTCACAACCAACAACAATCAAGAGAGTACTCATCCTTCACAATTTCAACTATAAATCATGCTTCACAACTCCAAATTCAATGAAACGAGCTTCTGCTAGTGCGTTGTAATGAGCCCGAGTGTCCGAGCCTGGCGGAGCTTGGTAGCGATGCTTGGGAAGCCCCACCACTTGGCTCCGCCAAGCGGCGTTTCCTGACAACAGACCATGCCATGGACCGTCCCTCCACGGGTCTAGCCAGCGGACCACGCCAGGGTTCGTTGGCTAGTCCTGTGAGACCACCTGGTGCACAGACAGTGTGCACCAGTGTCTTCTTCTTCACCTGCAAACAAACCAGATACAAACCAAAACACTTCCAAACCTCAATAAATCAATCCTAGATCGTCTACAACACACAAATAGCTCAACCACAACATCTATTTAGCATTTCTACACAACTAAGCCACACTATAGCAGTTAACTGAGAAAGAAAATGATAGTTTGGGAGTCCATGGTTTATACATCTTCTTGTTTTTCCTTCTTGTGTGGATCTCAGCCTCCTCTCCACTCAACTTCCACCACTTCCTTCACCACCTAAACGTCCCAAACAACAACGCAAACTAAGCCTAAGAATCTCAGAGAATGGAGGCCAAAGGAACAACACTAAAAGTAAAGAAAAGAAATGAAGAATGGAGGATGAAGCTTACTGTGAATGTTTTCTTCTTCTATCAGACAAAGCTTGGAGAGGCAAGGGAGTGAGATCAGGGAATGGAAAATGAATAGTGTGGTTTTTATAGGGTGCAAAACCCTAGGAAATTCTCTAATGATTAGTTCAGGGCAATATTGGAATTCTTGGCTCGAGCTCAAAAGATCAGGCAATGGTGGGAGGTTTATGGTCCACCTTGCATCATAAACCATAGACTAAAAGTGAATTTTGGCTAACTTTGGGATCAAAAGTAGATTTTCCAAAAATGTTTTTGTAACACCCCCGATTTTCATGTCATTTCAAAACTTAAATATACAAGATATCTAATCACAAAACATAAGCAAAGCACAGCGGAAGTCTAGTATATATATATAAACTAGAAAAAAAGGGAGTGCTATGCCACGCTCACATCATAGTGAACGCACAGGCAAAACTAAAGTCATCAGTCTAAACATTGTTCAACATAAGGGGCACGCAGGCCCAAAACACATCTAACACAGTCTGGGAGACTAAACTAGCCATCACTATCGCGCTCGCTAACTACTCGGAACCTAAAAAGCACATAAATAAATGGGACGACGCCCGGTCAGCGAATGATGCTGGTAACCCACCAATACATGTCCAAAACAAATATAGATAAATAGTATATACAAAATCATTTGCGAAACGGAATACTGTATATATCGGTTCAAAACCATAGATAGAAATCAATCTCAAGACTCCAAATCACTCACAACAAGGACAAGGGGAAACACATCCCAAAAACACGTCAAGACACGAGCAATAATAGGACAACTCAACAAATAAGGATAAACATCCACACACTGGCACTTCATGCCACAGTGACACTTCATGTCACAAGATCAAGTACCGAGTTTCAAGCTCCAACCTTATGCCTACCCCCGGCCTTATTACGGATCCAACCTTTACCTCCGAGTGCCACCCTATACTTCCAAGTCCAACCTTTTGCCTCCGGGAACCGTCGTTCCCCACCTATACCCACCAAATCAACAACCACC